CTTGGAGCCGGCCGGAACTGGCTCTATCAGACATAGGGGAAACTTCCAGCAGCTTCTCACAGAAGCCACCCCTGCAGTCCCCCCGCTACCAAAACCTTCCCACGCAAATCCCATACTATGTCTAAGAACTACAATGTACACTTGGATTCTAAGAGTGGCTCAGAGGCAAAAAATGATAGTGAATTTGCTGGGCTACACAGAAGCAAGAGTTTTAGTCCGACTTGGCTTGCGTGCAGCTGAATTTCAGGATGACGGGTGGTGTTAGTCTCTGCTGCCTCATTTCCTCCCACAGTCTGAAATTCAATTACACGGCAGTTTTCTTGCAGGAACAGTCCCACTGCTAGCCACACAATCTGGTTTGGGCTGCACTTGAACAGAAAGTACAGATTGGGATTTGTGTCTATCTTGTTTTGTAATATTGTTCTCACATGGGGAAGCTATCTCTGCTGTCTTCCTTGCATGCAATTCAGCAGTTTTCCCAATTATGAGCTATAAATATCTCTAGAATTTGACTTTAACGAGGGTTTCAACTTTGAAAAGGGCATGTTCCCAACTTGATTTAACTAGGACCAAAAAACCCCCCTAGGATTAAAGATAGTGACTTTCTAAAATGTATTGGCTGGCTGATTGTCCTCTACTCTGCTTACTCGTCCTTTGCTCAGCAAGTGTTGCGTATCTCCCTGAGCAGGTCAGGAGGCTCGTGATACATCATTCCCCACAGAAGGCGCTTTGCCAGTCATGCTAAGACCAGTGCAGTTTGTTTTGGCAAGGTTGATGTCTACACATTGTCAACATACCGACTGCAAAAGCATGGAGGCAAATGGGTGAGCTTTTCTTTTTTCTTTGATTGACACCTGAGCAACAATCAGCAGCAAATCCAAATCTTTTCTTCACTGCTCTTTGGTAAATGCTTGTCCATAGTGTAACGACCTCACTTGAGAACTTGGTCGGGCAGAATATGTTTTGTTGTAGCACACATACTTCGCGACAGTGAAGCCCAGCGCCTGGAAGAACAATGCAGTTGACAGCTCAACTATAGACTCGGTTTACAAATAAGGGGAGGAAGTGAGAGCGCCACCAAGAATAACCATGGCACCGCCTGCCCTAAACCGAATCAGCAGCCTCCTCGGACCTACATCTAGTGTTTCGGGTTTGGTTTACCACGGGTATTAACCCCGCCGGGCCTCCTCCCCTGCACC